CCTCCCTCCCTCCCTCCCTCCCTCTTTCCTTTCTTCTCTTTCCTTTCTTTCCTTTCCTTTCCGCACCTTTCCGCACCTTTCCTTTTCTCTTTCTCTCTCTCAAAAGAAAGACCTCTTTTCTGTAATCTACATGGGGCTTTTTTCCTCCTTCCATATCACTCATTGCAAAATGTAATGTTTTCCTCCAATTAGCAACAGTTTTTTCACTTCATTTGAACCCCTGATTTAGTTACTTACTTTAATTTTGAAGTGTAGTCACCTATCTGGGTGCATCTACTCAATTTATTCAATTATATGAATGGGAAATAACTTCCAGGAACAGGCAAGTAAAATGCTTGCAATAGAGGGCACAGACGTAAAATTTTGTTTTTCCCTTGCTCAGAGACTCTTTCACTGAGCTGGTATGCCAAAGATATATTCCAGGGAGTAGGGAAGCTGAGGTTTTGAACTCAGAAGCTTTTCCACAAGTAAAATCACCAAAATTTTGTGTTCTACTAACCCATTTGGAGAATCTGGAGACATGGAGAAAGGCCTCCAAGGATCACACTGCCATAAAAAGGGTCTACAGAAACTTCCATAAAGAGGTTTGCACTCAGATTCCTCAAGATTTATTCAGTCACACTGCTTCTAAATCTCTCAGAAATGCACAAAACAAAGGAAAACAAAGAAACAAACCCCCATCTGCAACAAATGTACACACACATGTATACTACTACTACTACTATTATTATTATTATTATTATTATTATTATTATTGAATACTCAAACTTCAGAAGAATTTGGGGTGTAACCACAACAAGACAAAATCAAATGATAAATGTCATTAACTACTAGGTTAAAAAATCCAAAAATTTTTTGAGAAGTTGAAATACATTAAATATTCTTATTAATAATTTTATTTTTATTATATTTTATTAATTTATATATATATCACTATATAATTATTAATATAAATTTATTTTTATTTAATTTATTCATTTTTATTAATATTATTTATTAATCTGGATTCATAGTGCATTAATAAGTGCAAAATTAAGAGTGAGTCCATAGAGCACTATACACTTAATAATTTAGCTAATATACTTCTCCAGAACCAGACCTGCTATACAACACTAAATACAGAGATTCCAATTGCCAGGAGCTATCCAATCCTACATTTCATCTTGGTAAAGCTAAGCAGGCCAGAGCTCTACTCACAGTATATGTAATCACATATTAGCCTTAGGATTCCTCAAAAATTAGCTGTGCAATTTTTTTATTAGCTGTGTCCTTACTGAAGGAATTATTAGCGTATTATTACTTCTCATGCTATTTTCTTTCTCTTCCACAGAAATATGTTCCCTCCAAATCTGGTGGAAGCTTGCTTTAAACAGGTAAAAACCCCCTTTTTTTATAACTTCCAAATAAAACATGAAGAAGTAAGAAATTAAATGTAACCACAATTGCCTTAGGAATATCATGTTCTTGTACTTACAGCAGAAATATAACTCACATATTCTGCCAGATGACAAAAAAAAAGCCCCCTGAACTAAACCAACCAAATCTATGCAGTTTTCAATCATACTGAGACAACTGTTTGCTATGAGAAGCGAAGAAAACCCACAGAGCTTGGCAAATCAAAAACAATTACTTTTCTCAAGATGTCAAATTCATAAGTTGACAGCAAGGTTCATTAAAGTGAATTCAGGATCTGCTTTTCTAAAACAGTGTTATGTTAAACTGGGAGATACTGAGATATTCACCATCTGTGCAAAGACTGGAAGATTTTCAAAAATGTCATGTGATACATGTGCTTAGGTTCAAAACAGAAGAAAAGAATTTGTGGACATTAACAAAAAAAGCAAATGATGAACTTCCTGTCATCTACAGTAGAAGTCCTTAGGAACGCTTTTTTAAGGTTGCTTCTCAAAATCTTCTATCATTAGCTTAGTCTTATTGTAGCTGTTCTATGGAGAAAATAACTAGTTACATTGTTTTTTAAAAAATGAAGATATTAGTGATTCAGTGGAACACAGAATGTATTTTTCCATAATCTAATTACTTCATATTGACCTCACAGACAATCTTGAACTGATACTATTTAGCAGTTAGTGTTTTAGAAATAAAAAAAGCTGAAATGTAGAGGTCAAGAGGAGCATAAACTTTCCAAATCCAGCTGAGCTACATCTTGCAGAATTGAAAAGAAATTATAACATTATCTTTAGTTGTATAAACAGAAACCAATAAAAAGGAGTCACTTTCTGCATTAAAGATTTTTAGATTAAAGATTAAAAAGCAAACTAGACCCAGGTTCAAATGCCATGCCTCTGTCTTCAACAAGGATGTTGATGAACTCAGTACAGTGATGCAGGAGACCAGTACAGAAAAGCAAGTCTATAGCTAAACTAGAAATAAATTCAAAGAATGTAATGTAATAAAGTACAGGAATGGTATGATCTTTATCTAAAATAATGAAATAATTAGGGCATAAAGTTACAGATGTAGCAGCAAGCTCCTAAGTTTGGAAGTTATTAACTAGAGCTCTTGAAAGCAATCAAAATTTCTTCCAGACTGCAGTTTCAAAAGGATTTGGGAAAATATTTAAGCAGATAACAGGCCATTAGTTTGATCTCAGTTATGGTGAAGGATATAAATGTGTTGAAGGAAACAGTAGAGACTTCATAACAAACAAAAATGAAAAATTCATAAAGAAACCAAAACACATAAAGAAAACAAACCACAAAGAAAAACCACAAAGGCTTCTGAAATATAAATTGTACCATTTTTCATCCATAATATTCCTCATTTCCGCTTTCTTTTTAAATTTTTTGTTGTTGTTGATTTTTTGGGGGGGCGGTATTTTTGGGTTTTGGTTGTTGTTGGTTTTTGGGTTTTTTACTTCTGAGAAAAAATAGCTTTTAAAATGACAAAAGTGAAAGAGTTGAGCAGGGGACTATAAGAATTTTAAAATTTGTGGAGAGAGCAACAGAAATTGCTGAAGGACTGGGAGTACCTCAGTTGATATTTTTATGAATGACATTGCCATAAGATGCATACAGTTAAATTAACAGATGACAAGAAAGTCCAAGCACTTTGTGTTGAGATATAAAAAAAAAATAAGCCTAAGAAGGTGATAAGACCCAGGCACAGCACAATACTGTAAAGTCACAGCAAAAAAATGACTCAGTTCTTGCACATGTTGGTATGTTTGGTTACCTCCTTGTGGCTCTTCAACATATGTGAAGTAAACATTTTGAAGTTAACAGTAATTTCTGCTTTGACATAGCAAATTATCATCAAGAAGATCAAAAATGTTCAATTCAACTCTAGGATATACATTAAGTGACAGAACACCATGACATGAACTAAGGCCATTAGGAATGTGAGGAATGTGACCATTTAGAATAGTGGATATCCAGTTTTCTTCATTCATAAATTCATGCAAAATGATTGTGGTGAAGAGAGGAGTCATTGGAATTATCAAAAGAACGCAACGTATAAAGCAAAAAAATATTGAGACATAATTCAAGTACAAAAAGAAACTGGGAACAGAGTTAAATAAGATAAAAACATACAAAAATAAATGGAACTCACTGAATTTAAACTGGAATTTAAACTACTATTGTTTTTAACCCTACATAACTTAAAGTTGAACTCCTGAAAACATCTTCATTTAGGAGTTATAGGAACACTTCAGCAGTTTTCCAATACAGTTTAAAAATTCTTTTGATAGTATTCAAGTGCAACAGAAAATTTGGCTTGGTAACTAGCAGTTCTAAACTTATACTCTTAATTAAAGAGGTCCTGTAGATTATGTAACATTTAAGTATCTTGTATTTTTCATGTGCTTTAAGACTTAAGGGGGTTTCTAAAAAACAATCTAGAAAAATAGGACATTCTTAGTGAAAGTTTTTACTGACTTTCAGCAGCAACTGAAAGTATCATGATATATTGAAGTACCAGGATTTTAAATTTGTCATGCCATTACTTTTTACATAAAAGTTATTTTGTTGTAGCAGATTCGTTAAAAAAAGATCTTAGCTTACAAGTGTAATATTCTCAGGTATCCAGATGATTTTGTCCATCTGACCTCACAACTTTCTTTTCAAAAATTTCCATCCATTATTTCGTATGTTTCTCAGGAGATTTATGAAGAGGAATGACCATCTGGCACAAATCTGTTTCTGTAACACCATGCTTGATGGTCCAAACACAAAACACAGTACTTCTCATAGCTGTCCACACTCAACCCACAGCTTTACACACCTGGAAATCATCACCAGAATATGCACTGCACATTTAAATCACATCTTTGGATAGACCAGATGTGCACATTATGTCTTACAGCATCTTTAGGTAGGTTTCTTCCCTAGTTTGTATTGGAAGCCACTGGAAGGTGTGAAATGGAGAGCATAACCAGAGTGGGAGAGATTTAAAGTGGAGCTGGAAATGCTTTTATATGGTTGACGCTAGGAGACAAAGAATCTTGGAGAGAGACTGGAACCTTAGGGTTTATCTTGGAAATATTTTCCTAAATTTTCTACTGTTCCTCTTTCAGTTTTTTGGTCCTTTGGATTCCCTTTCCTGTCTCTTCCCAACAAGACTGTGAGGCAAAACTGCCTCCCATTTCTTTTACTTCTCCTCATCCCCCTTTGCACATTTTCTTTCCCAGATATTTCCCTTTTCCACTTGACTGACATGCATTTTCAAATATGATGGGGAGTGGTTTGGTTCCCTCAGGATCCTGGGATGCATTTTTTCATGACCCATATACCTCCACTCAGTTTCACTAGGTGATTCCAAACCTTTGCTTAAACTGGGAGGGACATTGCCCCTACAAATTCTACCTGGAGATTCAGGGACTTGAGAGATATGGAGAGATATGCCAGACAATGATGACTGAGACAAAAAACTCATTGAGTACCTCAGACTTCTCAAGCTGATTGTTAAACAGTAGATTATTAATCTAAATAACATCTATTTCTGATGATTGTTGTTTTCATATGATGTCACAACATTTACTAAGCCTCACATGAGGCTTTTGTGATTTTTATGAGTAACAAGAAAATCTGAATAGATTGACTGCAGGTAAATATTCCACACTTAACCTAAAATTAGATTACTTTGTTCAAAATTTTCTCTTTGCCCCTGCAGTTTAGGGAAATCTAAAGAAATCTTTGGGTTTATCTTTCAGCTCTGGCCACTATCTCTTCATTTCTCTTTATTGCTAAAATAAAAATGCTGTCTAGCCTGGGGCTGAGCAGCAGTGCGCAGTCTGCTTGTTAAGCAGATACTGCTTTTTAGCTGCTTGTTCTTTGTGCTGTGCTCTGGAGGTCTAGCAAAGGGCAGAAGAAACACAAGCAAACTTGAAAAATCAAGAGAAACAGAATCAATCTAACAATTTGGGGAGGGTCATTCTGGTGTGAATAGGTAGAATCTTATGCCAGCTGAAGCTTAAAGAACTGCATCTGATAACTGCATTTCTTCTGAGATATTTTTAATTTCACATCCTTTCCTGAACTTACCATTATCAAGGGACTTGTAAGTGTTAATCACACATCCAGAAATGAATACTAACTAATTCATGGTGTCTATTCCTCATGGCAATCTGGGCTAGTTAAGAGATATTAAAACTCTTACACAGAAAATTTAGAATGTTTTCACACATATCCATATGGAAAGCAAAGAAAAAAACCCAAGAAGATGGATTATCTCTGTTTTCTTTTAATTTTTAGGGTTGCATTTAAGCAAACATGTTGCTTTTAAAATCATTATTCACCAAATGCTATATTATCACTGAGACTTAGCACAGACAGTACTAATGACACTATCTCAGAGAAAATTATAACAGTGAATCATGAGTTTTCAGAATAGTTACCACTGCAATTACCTTTTCTGCAAGCTAAACCACTAGGACGTGCTGCTGCCAGATTATAATGTTGCTTCTTCAGAAGTCCTTCAATATATCCAAGTCAAATGACTGGGTATCTTGCATGATTAATAAAACGAAAATAATAAACAAAGTGTAAACAACTGATTCATTGTATTATTCAATACAAAACCTATGTTGTCTATTTCATAGTGAGCTAAATTAATTAAAATTAATTTTCAAGTTGTTCATTACCATCTTGTAAAAAAAGTCTAGAAATTCATTCTTTTTGCATTTTACTTGCAGGTGTGATTGCTTATAGAAAGCTGTTTAAATTAATACATTCAAATAACATTTTTTTAGCATGCTCCTCAACTGTTCTTTGTACATGAACTTAAGGGAAAAAAATTAGTATTTTGCATTCAAAATCTTACCAGGAACAAATACCTCTTCCTGGAGGCATAACAAAATTATGTCCTCCAAAATTATAGGACTTCAGTGATGTTGTCTAGCCCATCACGTATTATCAGTGTATGGACCTCTGGTCTCTCTTCTGAGACCCTTAAGCCTACAATGAGCAGTTTTATTTTGCCTAATTTCTTCGACTTCTGAAAGTTGAAAAGGAACAAAAATCAGCAGAATCACAATGTGAAATTAATCTGTCAGTTTGAGCAACATTAAAAGCTGATAACTCTGATTGCCACTGAGATATAGATCTGCTGAAAATAGGAATGTCATAAAAGGTCAAATAATTATCTCTTACCACCAGTTACTCTGCAGAGCAGTAATAATCAACCTTGCTATTAACTCATCTATTTCAAAACAGTTTCTAACATCTTGAAGGGGGTCCTTCATCCAGTCACTTCTTATAAATAGTAGGCTTTTTCACCATTTCATACACAGAAAATATGTTTTGTGGTGATCAAGCAATCTTGTGTTTTGCCTTTAATGTTGTTTGAAAAAACAATAGTAAGAATAAAATAATAAAGAATAAAAGAATAAAGAATAAAAGAATAAAACTCATCTGAAACCCAACACTTTTTTCCTCAATAGATACATCCCTTGTGTTTCATGTATCTGGCTTCCCTTGACTTCTTTTGCTTCACCAGGAAATTTCCCATGATTTTTGATAGACAACTTTGGGCACAAGAGTTTCACAGAAGGCAGATATCCACAGGGATCTCCTGGGGCTCAGTCAGCTATAATGAAAGAAAGAGCAGCTCAAGTAAATATTCCAGTGAAAATAAAGTTGCTGTGGTTTCTGTTGCTTAGATTAATATTTTGAATCTCACTCTAAATAAGCGGTTTCTCCCTTGCTCTGGAATGGGTTCCAGAAAGACTATTCACCCTAATAATATTTCTGAATACTTATGAATAAAGTGAGCAAACAGGTAAGATCTACATCTCTGTTGCTCAGTCTAATAGCTGGAATGGAAAAGAATTTTGCTGAGTAAGTTCCTAAAATCCATATTAATACCCCTAAAGAGACTTAACTAATGAATTAAAAGTATGTTCCTTTTGTGACAGAAGTATGAGCATAAAATGAAGCCATATTCTTATTATCACCTAAAATTCTTTCTAACACAGGTTTTTGAAGGTAAGAATCTTTGTGTGATTGTACCTTCTCCCATATAGATCCCAAGACCTGCTCAGTCCCCCACAATGATTTTGTAGCCACATGGGCAACTCTGCCCTCATCTGATATGAGGGCAGCAATTCTCGGAAAAATAAAGATCGTGCTGCCTCTGATGGAAAAGTGGTTTATGACTTAGCTCATGGCCTGCTCCAACAGGCAGGCAGCACATATCCAACTCTGTCCATCAGCTGTATCATACTTTTGACCTAGCCAGGTAGGAATGAGAGAAGAACCGGAGGGTAATGGAGGATATTAATAACCAAGTAAGTTATGATGTGCTAGGGAAAGTAGGAAGTGAATAGCAAATGTCATAAGAAATTAGGCTTTAATTCCAGACCTTATTGTTCCAGAACTCATTAAACACCTTGCTTTTCTGCTTTCATCTAATCTGTGTGCCTGCAAAAGCAACATAGTTACATCCTTCAGTTGTATTTGCATGAAAGAATCTGCACCTAAGGTTTTTTCCCTATTGAAAAACAGCAATAAACATGTAAGTGTAACTCAATTCCCACACCTGGAGGCAAGGAAAGGGAAAAGAAAAGGAAAAGGAAAAAAAGAAAGAGAAAGAGAAAGAGAAAGAGAAAGAGAAAGAGAAAGAGAAAGAGAAAGAGAAAGAGAAAGAGAAAGAGAAAGAGAAAGAGAAAGAGAAAGAGAAAGAGAAAAAGAGAAAGAGAGTGTTTGATGTAAAGTGTTAGGCAGTACTTTGACAGTCCAGAATAAAAAACACTTTAATGAGAACTTATATTAGTTTTCCATCTACACTTTAATACAACTCTGTTACTTAAAAAGACAACCCTATCCCTTCTTCCATGGCTGTGTAGTTCCAGTCCCTGTGTTCTCCCATCTCTGACATTTGAACAGACAGCGAAAGCTAATTCAGTTCCCCAGGCTTTACCCAAAAAATGGCAACATTTGCCAAAAATGGCAAAATCTCTGTGCTTGCAGAGATTTCTGCCACTTTAAAAAGTAGAATTGTCTCACTAAGAGATCAAACAAGAATTATCACAGGCTGGATGTGAGAGCATGAGGCAGTGGAACTGGGTTTTTCCATGTCAGCCAAATGCTCATACAGCTCTCAGCTGACTTCTGTACATCCCAAATTTTAAGAGATTTTAGTAAATTTTATTCAAAGCTCAGGAGTATTTGACCTTCATGAATTTTGGTTCTGCTACATATTAATCAGAAATCTTCCATAAATGTCCAGTGAGCAGATTTTATTTGACATTCTAAGAGACTGGGAGCCTTCAGAGAGATACCTCAAATATGTGGAAGGAGTGCATAAAACTATTCAGGTGCAGAAAGTAACATTAAATCAGGTTGGTGTTGAAAGATGATGATACTCAGGTTTCCCTTCTTGGTCATAATTACTTCTGTCAAGTCCTTCTGAAGCATTCAACAGGTCTCCAGACATCATTAAGGATATTAAAACTTTTCCTGGTAGCTCCAAAAGAATAAAAATCCAAAGTTGATGAATAATCTCAACACCAGTGTTCTGCTGCTTCAATGGACTAATTAGCATCCTGAGATACATGAGAAACATTATAATTATATTTATCACTGATAAATGATATTTAGTATGCTTTGTGTTCAATGGAATTTAACCAGGACAGAGCTGCAGGACTTTTTGAACCCAGATAGAAATATTCAGGGTGTAAATTTCTCTTTGAAAAGCATTAGGAGGTGAAAGACTGGTTTTTCAAAGCAGACATTTAGGATCTGAGATTTAAAAATTGATTTCTCTTTTCCATAAAGGAACCATTTAAAGTATAACCCTTTCCTTAATTAAGAAATATGGTGACTTGTACTGTAAACTAAGGCTTTGCCATAAAAAAAGGAAAAATAGGTATATTATAATAAAGTTAACTTCAGTCCTATTTTTTTTTAATACAAAAAGATGAAGAAATAAAGAAAGTCCAGAGCACAAGAAAATATTCTCACTAGCCAATAAAAAGACTATAAATGTTTGGAATATTGTTGGTAGGAAAAATATCAAGTTATATAAAATGCAAACTAAGAATCAAATAATTTTGTTACAGAATATAGGAGCATGAAAATTTTGCATCTTTGACTTTGGCCTATTTATGAGAAAAATACTTCTAGAAGCTAAAGCTGAAGATTTAGCTTTTGAAGTTAATATGGATTTTTGTTGCTTTCAGGAAAATCAAGTTTTCATCTAGTACATTTCACCTAGAAATATTAAGCAAAAAATTCAAATGTCTTACAATAGTAAATAGTAATTTAATTTGTGATTTTAATCATCATTTGCTATGATTCACTGAATTTCTATCTTTTATTTTCATTTTGACAGTTCAAAACCAACTATGAAAAGAGAAAGTTTAAAGTAGCTATTCCATCTAATGACACATCCACAGTGACTTCCATAATAAGCAATGTTTCAGAAGCAATGGAAGCTCTGACCCGAATGAGAGAGGAAATAGTTCCTGTTCCAGGTTCTGTGAATGGAGTGAATGCCCTTGGCTTGGTGGTGTTCTCAATAAGCTTTGGCCTGGTGATTGGGAGCATGAGGGAGCAAGGTCAGGCATTGAAAGACTTCTTTGATAGCCTCAATGAGGCTATCATGAGATTGGTAGCTCTAATCATGTGGTAAGTGCCTCTTCAATAAATTCCTTTTTAATCTACTAACAATATTTTTCATCACAGCCAGGAACTGAGTAGCAAGAATCTATTCTGCAGAAAGTCAGACAATAAGATTATCTCTACCTTGGAACATTTTTCATGAATGAAGAGTTATCATTCTCTGTGACAATAATCTGACCAAATATACCAACTCTTCAGTGGGTTTCACTTTTGATATGAGAAAAACTAGGGTCTACGGCAGAAGTTGCTACCTTTATAGAGACCCATTCTATGTCTTCATAAAGATACCAATCACAGCAGTAAGCTATTGAAGTTTTCTTACATTCTAATCTGAATTCATTAAAGGAAACCAACAAACCTCTCCCATAATCTCATTTCTACACAGCAAGACCTTGTTACCATAATTTTCCAGCACAACTGGTTCCTGTAGTTTTGGGGTTTATATGTACCTTCTTGCATTGCAGCTGCACTGCTCACACATACACATAATTTTCCTGCTTTCTTCATTGTGTTCATTAGGTAAATAAAATAAATACCTTTTCCCTCAAGGTATGAAATAATTTCAAAAATTAAGACTAATTATTCTTCAGGTAGAAGGTTAACTGTGAAAAGAAATTATCTTTTTGCCCTCTTTACTACAGGAAGAAAACCAAATCAACTCCAAGGGTCTATCCAGGAGCACACATGTATACTGCCATACTAGATACAAAAACAAAAGTTAGTGTATTTGCTGCAATAACTAAAATCTTTTCACTTTCACAAGGACATTTAAAATGCTAAAGCAGAGAATTCAGATAAATTCCCACATGCACATGGACTTGATGGCGTAAAAGGCAGTTGAGGAATAGTGGATAAATTCTGTTCTGTGGTATCTTACTGTAAGAAGACAAGTGGACATTTATACAAGCAGGGCTGTACCTAAAGTACAGCAGAATTATGTTTGAGTTTTACGCTCAGCACCAGATCTTTCCTCACCTCTAGTTGTCCTTCCTAATAGGCAAAAGCAGTCCATCCCACCTGTGCTGCTGTTCCACAGTGCAGCCAAACTCTGTCATACAGATTTCCTCATGCTGATGAAGAAGTACACAATATGACAAAAATTGTACGTGGTATATTAATTCTACAATTTCTATATGATAAGTCTATTATTATCATATCCTTATCATATACTGTCCAATTAAAAGGTTAGTTGGTTAGATAATAATTCCTGGGGACCTGAGGAGTCCACAGGTTTCTTTAGCCCCACTTTTGATGTGTCTAGTCAAGATTCTGGTTGGAAACTAGAACATTCTTGTATCTGATACTCTTCTTGGAATAAAACTAAACAATATTTAGGAATACATTCGTAAGCTTAGCTTATTGTTCCTTAATGTAGAGAAGATAGGAAAAAATACTGGAAGCTGTAGCCAAAGCTACAAAACTACAAATATGTGAAAAATATTAAAAAGCTAAAAATCTAGGCATCATAAGTAGCTTGAAATCTTCAGAAGTTATCAGAATGCTGTGTGTGTTCCTTCCCCAACAACAGGGGAAACAGGACTGGAATAGAACTGAGTGCTTGGCATAGTATCCACACATGTTGGTTTAGCCTTCATTCACACAGGCAGAATTACAACAGGATTGGCTAAACTAGCTTTTAAATTACACTTGAATTCCAAGGAGAATTCATTTCCTTACCTGTCCATAAGGCATGAAAGGCATCTTGAAATCCTTACCAGTTGTTGAATCCACTGAATCTCACCAAAAACATTCACTGCTGTGGTTCAATCCAGGTTGAATTGTTAAGAGTTGAAGAGTTAAAATTTTTAACTCTTCCTGAATAGGAGCAGCCTAACATTGAAATTCTGCATTTATGCATATAAACACAAACAGGATGGAAGGGGGACCAAATCTCTACTTTGTTCTGTAATGCTGCTTTGATTTCTTATTTGCAGGTATGCTCCACTTGGAATTCTCTTCTTGATTGCTGGGAAAATTGTTGAGATGGAAGATATGGGTGTGATCGGTGGTCAGCTTGCCATGTACACTGTCACAGTTATCATTGGTTTGCTAATCCATGCTGTCATTGTCCTACCTCTTCTCTACTTCGTGATCACTCGCAAGAATCCATGGGTATTTATTGGAGGTTTAATCCAGGCATTAGTCACAGCTTTGGGAACATCTTCCAGGTACAACACAATATTGTAAAGCCATATCTCTTTTAGTATAACTGGCTTAGGAAACAATTTTGCTTCATGTTTGGCTAACTCCATATTCACTTGGGCACTGTATTTCAGTTCTGCTGCCCTCCAGTACTGACTTGAACTCTGTTTCCTATAAGAAACCCTGAACTGAGATGAAATTAATCTGTTTGATGATGCAGATTGTATGGCCAGAACCCTTGTTAGTTTGGTTAGTCTTGTTGTTTGCTATTCTAAGTAGCTTTTAATGGTTTGACAGTGAAGGATCAAGCTGGCAAAGAATATGCATGGCAAAATGGAGCAGCAACAGAAAAGTCCTGAGGGGATTCCTATTGGCAGCTTGCATTTTGTGCCCAATATCCTGATAGCCCATTATGGATACAGAAGCTACAACAGAAATGCCACTTTTACTCTTTGCCGGTGGCCATAGTTGTGTCATGTGAATTTTAAAAACTGTTTGCATGTATAACAGAGGGAAACATCACAATAAAGTGTACATTTCTATATCATTTGACCTTACATAAAACATCTGCCATTTTAATAGATTTTAAAAATATATCCTGAAGTCAGAGGGTTTCAGACAGATATTCTGTGATGCTAAGTTTGAGTCCTTGGTGTTTGAAATTATTTTGAGGTAAAAACCTAGGCTGATGCAATACACCACTGTACTGCAAGTGGATTTAAAAATCATACAATATTCAACTGTAAGATGACTGTCAGCAAAGATACTTTTCTAACACAATCATCCACAACCCCTCTTTATTTTTGGTCAGTACTTTATCAATATTTATAGTTTTCAAAGACTAGAAAATATGTTAATTATTTAGCAATGAATTTTTCACTGGGATCAAGTAACCAGAATTGCTGTGTCTTAGAAAACATCTTTACTTTGGTGTGATCAGGTGTAGAGATACTGCCCTGGCTCAGACACTCAATTTTCCTCATGGCAGCTCATATAGTGCCATATTTTAGATTTTTGGCCAAAGCCACAATGATCACATGCTGACATTTTATTTGTTGCTAAGCATTTGCACAGCATCGAGACCTTCTCTGACTCCCACTCTGCCCCCACAGTGAGTTGAGGGGTTCACAGTGGGTTGGGAATGCACACGACCAGGCAGATGAACCAAAGTAAATAAAGAGATATTCCATGCCACATACATCATGCTTGGCAACAAAAGGGGGAGAAGGATTTTAGGAAGGCTGGCCACATATTACTCCAGAACTTGCTGACCACTGGTCCATTTGTGGGAGTGGTGCTTAAACATCACTTGTACAGTTTTGTTTTCTTCTGTTCTTCCTTCACACTTCTCCCACACTTATTAAAAAATTTTATTCTCACCCTTCCATTTTCTTGTTCTTACTGTTCCTTCCGGTTTTGCCTGTCCCATCAAGGTGTGGAGGCAAGTGAGTGGCTACTGGTTCTAGCCCAAAGGTGGGAAAATAATGCAACCATCAATCAAAATGCCCTTTGCAGTGGAGCCCACAAACAAGAAGAGAAAATGAGCTTTTTACTGAAGGTTTGAATAGCCCAGTTGGTATACATTCAAAAAAACAATGCTTAGGGATGATTCAATCACAGCTCCATGACTTAAACCTGAAAAGCAGGAATTTTAAATAGATTCCTGTGCTTGGCAAAAGAATCTTGCGACAAAACATTGAATTTAGACACTTTCAGTCTAGGGATTACATACAAAATGGCAGTAATTAACAGCTGGAGAAAGTTTCCAAGAACATTAGGAGAACTTTCACCATTGGAAATGCTTAAATTGAGCATTTTCATTAAAAAAACCTATTCTGTTAGATCACAAAAAACTAAGACAGAACTGTCTCTCTTGTCATTATAACATGACACTCTTTCCCTCTTTGCAGTATATGTAACATGTATTATCTTTTTGCTTTTTGTTTCAGTTCTGCAACACTGCCTGTTACATTTAAGTGTCTAGAAGAAATAAATGGAGTGGACAAACGAGTTACAAGATTTGTACTCCCAGTTGGTGCTACAATTAATATGGATGGAACTGCTTTATATGAGGCTTTGGCTGCAATTTTCATTGCACAGGTCAACAACTTTGATCTGAATTTTGGACAGATTATCACAATCAGGTATGAAAAAATCTGTTACTTCAATTTAATTAAAGCACCTTTGTGATGACCCCTTCCTGGTTTAAGTGGGATTAAACAAAAGCATCTAGAGCTAAAAACAAGAATTGCTACATTATCAGATTATCTGTAATTTACATCTTCACACAAAAAGACCCCCAGCACATATTCTCATTTGGATAAACTTAGCAAAACTGCAGCATGACATACCCATTACTGCACTTAATAAGGATAACAAGGTCTTGAGAAGACTTAATTAATTTCAATTTTTTCTTTCTTAAGAAATGCAGCTCATGCAGCTGTTGGGAACTACATACTTTTAATGAGGTCCAGGTAGTTTATAAAGCATCTACAAAGCTGAAGCATAAAGTCATCACAATGTTATTGTGATAGAAGAGGTAGTGCTTTCCTGGTTTCAGGATACAATTACAGCTAGCTGTATAAGGAACAGTAATACAATTTCATCGCATCAGCTGACAGAAGTGGTGAACACAGTTTATATTTTCAAGCATACAACGCTTCTTATTTGAAATACAACAGCAAACAAACCACTAGTTAGCATTCAGTGATAACTGAACTGCTTTAATTTCATTATGTTTATCACAATTTAAGGAAAAAGGGTGATGGGTACTTGTGCAGAAGAAAGGAATGTCAGCAAAGGGACAGGTGGGCACTGTGGGACAAAGACACATATCTATCTCACAGGAACACTGCAAGTTCAGAGGTAGTGCTCCATAAAACCACCAGTTTATTTCAATATTCATTAAGCTAAGGCAAAACTCTGTCTTCACCCTCCAAGGCAATTGTTTCACATTCACTAGTACTAGAGCTGCTCCCTGGGAAACCACCTGAGAAAACAAATTCTCCCTAAACCAGGTGTGAACAAGCATATTTCTTGAAAGTCACCAGACAGTATGATTCAGAGTTTCTGGCAGCTTTCTGTTTTCTGATGGCAGAACACCAACTGCTGCAGGACAGAGACTTCACCTGGCATGAAGTTATAGTGAGATGGACAGAGAGGAAAAGTTCTTGTGTTAGATCTGCCAGGAAAGAACTACCTCCTCAGCTTTCCTTTTAACGTGTTTGAGCTTGTGGAGAGAGTTTTTTCAAGGGGTGGGGACATGTAACTCTAATGTTTTTTTCTGGCCCTTGGCATCTAGTAGGGAATTTATCACCTAACAAAATTATGTTTCAAGATTTCTGGATAGAGCTTTAGTGAAACACTTTGGATCAAGGGTCATAGTCCCCTGCAGCTATTAGGTGTTCAGATAAAGGACTAGGCTCATCTTTTTATTTACTGCTGAGCAAATACCTTCTCGCTTTATATCTGGTTTTAAAATTTGACAATTGATAAGGAAAGTTTTTAATTAGAGTTTAATTACAGAAATTTATTAATTGCTCTTGCTATCTCTTTGCACAGCATCACTGCTACAGCTGCCAGTATTGGGGCTGCAGGCATTCCTCAAGCTGGACTGGTCACCATGGTCATTGTGCTCACATCAGTAGGTCTGCCTACAGACGATATCACTCTTATCATTGCAGTGGACTGGTTCTTGTAAGTATTTTTATGGAGTTGTTAAAGACTTAGACCATATTTAGAAGAGAAATATCAGGGACATTGTGGTTGTACCATGATGTTTTGCTCTGGAAGGGATTTGGAAACCAGCGTTAAAAAGAAACACTATTTCTTTCTAGTGAGGTATTTTCTTAAAGCATATGGTGAAGAGTGTAGCTTAATTATGGCTTCTTTTGCATGCAAAAGTTTACATAGAAACCTGTATTGTTAAGATACTAAGAAATCTTTCATGTACACTGTAATTAAATAAGCAAATAATTGCTTTAGTCTCTTATTTTTTTGTAGGATGACAATAAAAATTTTCAGTCAATCAGACTCAGAATGGAATAGATCCAACCAATCAATTGCAGCCTCACTGACTTATCTAATCTAGGAAATGTTCATCTGTCTGCCCCATGAATGCAGAAACAAAAAATAGTTGTGTAACTGCCACTAGAAAGTATTGCCCCTCAGTTTTTCCATTCATGTATGTGTTTCATTCCAGTATGTAGAAAATGACAGACATCTTTAGATATATGTATTACCCTAGGTTCAGGAAATAAATTAAAGGAAGATTTTTTTCCAACCTCTATTTCATCTAATAGCTATTATTTAGCTTTTCTGGTGGCTTTTACCCTTCAGTCTTCTGACATGATCCCTGAAAGAAGTTGCCAATGTTGTTATCAAAACATAATGTCTTCAAATGATCATCTAACCACCTGATGTAGGTAGATGCTTACCTATTGGCAGTGCCAGTCACTCCTTGTCAGGCCACCTTCTGCATCTGCTGGGCAGAGCCCTCTGAGAGGGATGAATTTTCGTAGTTTGAGTCATTCATGCACAATTGCACGTCATATGTGTCAGGAGACAAACAAACCTAACAAGGTAAATTCTTGCTGGCTTACACATTCAGAGGATATAAACCCAAACTCTAGATACCTAAGAGTACCAAATGCCTCCAAGAAGCCATATGTTCCCTTTGCCATCCTGATCACAGTTCTTGCAGTGAAGTTGCTAAGAGTATTAACACATTTTGTGACTCCCTATCCCAGTATATTTGTTAATTTCTGTAAAAGAAATCATGGCATTAACAGTTCAGATAAGCTAATGTCTGTAAAACAGGTGACTCACCTACTAGCTACTTGAGAGCCATTTTAGCAGCATCCCTGAGCAAGGGATAAAAGTAACTCACTTTTTCCCTAGGGATCGTCTCCGTACCACTACCAACGTCTTGGGAGACTCCATTGGAGCAGGAATTGTTGAACATTTATCACGGCATGAGCTGAAGAACAGGGATGCTGAGATGGGTAATTCCGTGATAGAGGAGAATGAAATGAAGAAGCCTTACCAGCTGATCTCGCAAGAAAATGAGAATGAAAAACCAATAGATAGTGAAACCAAGATGTAGGCTAGAGAAAGCGTGAGTTCATCACTACAAGTGTGGGAAAACACACACTTTTTCCGGCGATATATATCTTGAATTCACCAACTTCATCTGTTCCTTGATTTCTCCCTTTATTCTCGCACTGGAAAGAATTAATGAAAATATATTCCAAACTAGCAGCGATCATGGTATATGTTGGCTTCCCACTTAAAAAAAAATTAACAGGCAACAAGACTGGTCCTGCTAGATATATGCTAACTGGGGATAAAAAAAAGAGATTGTGTATATGTTACTCAGTCCTGTGAATCTTTCTTTTTCTTTTTTTTTTATGAACTGGAAAGTAAAAACAGATAACAGAGCCTGAAAATGGTTTTATTTTTTTAAATACCTGTTGAAAAATTTCTAACATCTATAAGCACACAATCAACACTTCTAACTTGATAACTGCATCCAGCTAAGTAAATTAACAGGACTTTTGCTATTTTATCTGAATTTTTTTTCTCTAGTGTTATATTATTGTTCAAATACTAGCAGGACAATAAAAAGCAGGAGATTAATTGAGGGGATAAAAAGGGGGAAGATATATAAATAAAGAAAAGAAAATACCCCCAAATCAGCACTTTTACCAGCTGAGATGAAATATTTCTGAGAAAGTTATTTTATCTAGACAGTTTTTTGAATTAGATTCAGCTGATCTTTATAAGAATTTAGCCTAGTTGGCTCCCACTGACTTGCAAATATTTACATATGCATGTATGTCCTTCCAATCTGGATTTACTCCCTTAATTTCAACATCACAACCCAGTTAAGCAATCTGTGTGTGTGTTTGTAGGAGCAAGGCCCTGGTCTGGGACAGAAAATGTCTTCATATCCAACATGTTTGGATAAAAAAATTTGCACGCTCTGGATGCACTAATGAGCTACCTAACAAGCAATTATAAGAAGGCAATGCCAGCCTTCTGTAGAGGTGCAGAGGATGAGATGTTCAGATCCCAAAAGGGGTGCATTCTGAATCTGAATCCCTGAGACCAGCAGAGGTTTTCTGATTGGAAACCTCCAAGATTCTTGATCCACAAATAAATTATAGAGGTATGAACTGGATTTACATTTTGCCCTCTGGAGTAGGCTCTCTATCTTAATGTGAAATTTTTAATTCCTAGAGAGTTTACCAGTAGCACCTGAAAAAGAAGATGAAAGCCTTTAGAAAATAAAATTAAGGGGTGAATTTGTATTTTTATTAGAAAAATATAAACAAATTGAAAAATAATAAATACTATAATATCTGTTGACATTTTAATTAGAAAAGATTTTAAAATTAAATACTATAGATAACTTTCAGGGAATAGATAAGGAAAGAATGAAAAAGGGAAAACAATGCACTTGTAATACATTGGCTCTTTTGTTCAAGATTATTCCCTGAAGAAACCCTTTTCTAGAAATACAAATTGTGTACTTTTTCCTTTTTGCCTTGTATTATTAGAGAGGTTAAACCAGAAAACTTTATAAAGCAGATGCTGTTGGGAGAAAGAAACAAATATTAATAGACAGGCAGAATAATGTTCAACAATATGTTTTATTAAAATATTCAGCTTTCTTCCTTATTCCTCCCTTTGCCAAAATAATTCCGATGACAGAAATGAAGGATCCCTTTGCATTGCCCCAGCTGCCGTTCAAAAACATTCAGTATGTTGCATCTGCCACTCAAAGTCCATAAATAGGATGTACAAATAACTATAGTGAAAATGTCAGCATGCTGGTCAAAGACAAACCTTTTCCCAAGCAAGATTGATTTTTTGGGACTGAAAATTCCTGTCAATCTTCTCCAGCTGAGTGATTCAGAAAATGTGAGCAAGAACTCTCAAGTGAGTGAAGTGAGCAGGGTTTAATATAGGTTAGTGAGCATCAAACCAAGAAAGTTCTAAAATAATCTCTAAATGAATGACTGAAAGAAAATATGGGTTGTTTTTTGTTTTTTGGTTTTTTTTTTGCTAACAGAATGCAAATCTAGGATACAGACAGGCATTTTCTGATATATAATTAGAGATATTTTTATATAGATACTGTATTCAGAATGTGTGTATAAACATTAACTGTAGAATTTATGGCATAACATTTTAAAATTTTGTTAAGATTTTGTTTGGAAATACATTGCAAAGACAATGTAAAAGGCTGTCTTTCTATGACATCAGCTGAGAAAAATGAATTGTGTCACAAAGAATGTGATCTTTTTTTATACTAACTTTGTTTCTTGTGGAAATCAGGTATTATAGAAAGATTCCCTTTCCCATCCCTCACTGGTTCTGCATTGGTATGCACCCAGAGTGGATTGAGAAACATTACTTTGTAGATGTATTTTCAATAAAAATAGTTTTACATTACTGCTCTTATTGTGATTTAGATTTCTTTCAAAGGCTCTGTAATACAAGCTTTGCACAAACTCAGAGATGAGGAGTTCATAGTATGGGATTTCAGGAATTACAGACCATTTTGTACAGGAGGGCTTCCTCATTACAAATACTTGCTTCATTTCATGATCAAAAATAAAGATGTAAAGGGTGAGTGGCAGGAATTAAGAATTAAACTAAGAACACTAAGAATTAAAGGAACCGGTGTTTACCCCATCAAAGTACATTCAAATTCAAGTATATAAATGCATATTAGTATCTGCAAAATAAAACATAAAAAATTTACATTTTCAGTGATTCAGCTGCTGCAAAGTTGCCAGTTCATTTCAGATGCATAGTTAGATGATCCAAACCCCAAATTCAGCTCTGTAACATTACAACCTTCTTAGACCATCCACTACTATGCCCATGAAAGCGGTTTATGGTGCTGGACTCATTTAGTAAAAACTTCAGCTAGCAGGTACCATCTGGAAGTGAAAATATCATCAGAAGAACTGGAAAGGTATAAGATACAAGCTGAGTCACTTCCATCTGGGAAGTTACGTTGTTTGGAGCAAAAGGAGACAGCAGGGAGAAGCCCTGCCTTCCTGAACATACATCAACAAACACCAAACGATGACCTCTATGAATACGTCTGTGGTGTTTTAATTGTAAGCAAATTTTGTGAAAGAAAATTGGAGAAGAAAGCTCAGAGAAGGCATGGTGTTACAGAGCACATGAGCACAACTTTTCACAATTTTATTTCTAGTTATCTACATGTTCATTCACCCAATCCAGGTAAGTATCTCTGTGTCTCTGGAGCTACTATCATGATGGGAAGAGTGTAGGGAAAGAGGGCTAGTGTATCACAGAATCATTTAGATAGGAAAATACCTCCAAGATCATTGAGTCCAGCCTTTGACTGATCACCATTATGTCAACTTGACCATGGCACTGAGTGCCATGTCCATCCTTTCCCTGAACACCTCCAGGGATGATGACTCCAATATCGCCCTGGGCAGCATGTTCCAATACCTGACAACCCTTCCTGTAAAGAAACTCTTCCTGATGTCCAGCCTGAGCCTCCCCTGGCTCAGCTTGAGGCCATTTCCTCTCATGCTGTCACTTGGCACTTGGGAGAAGAGCCGAAACCCTGTCTGGCTACACCCACCTTTCAGGGAGTTGTAGAGTGATAAAATTCCCCTTGAGCCTCCTCTTCCCTGAATAAACAGCCCCAGCTCCCTCAGACACTCTTTACACTTTACTTTGCACTCTAGACCCTTCCCCAACTCCACTGCCCTTCTCTGGACATTCTCCAGCATCTTGCTTGGAGATATTAGTGGCACAGTGGCCTTGCTTACTCCTCTGTGCCCTCATGCAGAAGTGACATCAGTGATACTCCATAATTTTTCAGCTGTACTTTCATTTAGAAGTTGTGGAACAAAACAGCATTGCCATTCTTAGGCAAGAATTCATGTCTTTGTAACAGTGTGTGGCCAGTATAAAGCAAAGTGATTATGCATGTGGAAAATCAACTACTGGCACAGGAGAGTATTTCTTCTGAAGGACTGAACTCGCACAAGTGACATTTGTGTTCCAGTGCAAGCACAACTGACAAGAAATTTAAGGCTTTTTTTTTTCAACTAATCCTTGCTTGTTTTAATAAAGTTACAACAGAAATGAGACAGGAGAGTGTATCTTGTTTCTCATGTGATCGACAGTGTCACAGCTGTCATGACAGCATGTGATCAACTTGGTTCTGGTGTGATCAGCCATTTCCCAGAAAAAGACAAAAATTCTGAGATGAACTGAGAGATCACTACCTGTCTGGATCTCCCTCTTTCTAAAGGGATCAGCTTATCCTGGAAGCATGGATAAGATGGAAGGAGACTTTTACACCTCCATGCAAAACTGGAAACTCAGACTTGCAGCATCAGTGAGGCAACAAGATTTCTACAGATAACAGAGAACAGTACTCAGGTGATATAATCCTTCATGATGAGCCCTTTTCTATGCCCCTTTCCCCATCCAGCTCCTCACATGTCTCTGAGATACACAGATGTATCTAAAATTCCACAATTTTAAGGCAAGAGTACCCACACTTCTAACCAAAGTTTCTCTTGAACATGCCTCATTACACAACTAGGGCTGCACAAATAATTGATTTTTCACTTCAGTGACAGAACTGAAAAGCTTCAGAGAATAATTCTTCCAAGGCATCATTGAAACAATTTTTTGCTGCTTAAAAAAATTCCTATCTCACTTTTAGATTGCTTTTAATCTATTTTAAATTAAAACAAACTCAGCTGTAAAATGAACTGAACTTGGAAATAAAACATTGAATCATTTTGCTAGGAAAATGCCAAAATCAAATGTTTCAACTTTTCTATAATATCTCCTCATTTTAAAGCCAATTGTATTTATAGAAGTTGGCACAGCTTCACAAGTACTTGCCTCAAAAACTGCATTTTTCAGCAGTATATTTTTATATTCATGCTTTTTCTTTGTTCTTTACAACTTCCTTTCTCTAGACATTGCACATTTTTCTGGTTTTCCAGATTACTTAGGGTTTATTCTTCATTTTACTATTAACTTTTTTAAAGCTTTGATACTTGATAAAAATTATTAAAAAATGAACTCTTTTCTGATATTTGTCCACTATTGTTACTATTACTCTGGCTCCTACACTTGTGTTCATTTTCTGCATCATGTATCTTTTAAAACCTGAATCAGTTTCCCATTTTCTGCAGTACTGTATTCCTTTTTCCATCTGTCTCACTTGTTGTCATGGCTTTACTCCTCACTTTTACTGCTTCTCCTTCAAGA